TTTTGCTCCAGTTAACATGGATCAGACATTAACCAGGTTTGACTTTTAGGGGCTTGTTGTACCTGTGATCCGGAATGTTGAGACCATGAACTTCGCTGACATTGAGAAAGCCATTAATGCTCTGGGAGAAAAGGTAAATGATGAGAGACAGCACAGACGTCCTAGAATTATTTCGTTTTGAACAATTTCATCTCACTGGGAAAAGCAGTCAGATATTTGTTGTTCCTGTGCACCCCTGAATAAATGAGTAAATCCTTTGCGTTTTGTTCCTCAGGCTCGTAAAAACGAGCTCGCTGTTGAGGATATGGACGGAGGCACTTTCACCATCAGCAACGGTGGCGTGTTTGGCTCCATGTTTGGCACGCCCATCATTAACCCCCCGCAGTCTGCCATCCTGGGCATGCACGGCATCTTTGACAGACCTGTGGCCGTCAATGGCAAGGTGAGAATTGTGTTAACTGATGAAATACAGAGATCTTCTTTCTTTAAATTATAATCCTAGAATCAGTATACAGTTTTTCATATATAATATTTTTAAGACTACTAACTACTGTCTGCTTTGGCAGGTTGAGATCCGGCCCATGATGTACGTGGCATTGACGTACGATCACCGACTCATTGACGGCAGAGAAGCCGTCACCTTTTTACGCAAGATCAAAGCGGTGGTGGAAGATCCAAGAGTCCTGCTCCTGGGAATGTGACGTTTCCGCCACTAAATTCTTATTTAAAGATACTCAGCTGCATAAAAATGAACTCCACATCACAGAAAACGCACAAAATAGCCTGTACAATTATTGTTTTTTATAAGTGTTGATACTACAGGGGCGTACCGGGGTTGTGTTCCAATGCTCATTGCATTTAGATGCATGTCATTACCTGTAACGTATCTGTCAAGTTGCCTAAATTGATGAAACTAAAAGTTTGCTACTTTGATCAGTAATTATTTTACGACGTTTGAATTAATCAAATGGAAATAACTTCAAAAACAAGACAAAACTCTGGCTTTAACTCCACATAAGCCTGTCTAAAGATGCGTTAATGAAGCCTTCGGATGAATGAAGCAGTATGCAAACTCACTCTCATCACAGTTGTATAATCATAAAACAGAATGGCTTTTCCAGACAGCAGCTGCTTGCATAACATTTCCCCCCGCTTGTTAATTAGTGCTCTTGAGCCACTTTTTCCACAGTAGGGCCGAACAGGGATAATTCAGATTAGTTCAAGATGTTGACGTTAACACAGGTTACACAGATTGCTTTGGTTAGACACTGCAACCGGCAACAGCCTGGGGAAAATGAGTCAGTAACCAGGAAACCAGGTCTTTGTATGGAACTTGTGTGTACAGCAGTGCCATGCCTTTAAGTCCACATCAACTCTGTTTGACTTGGTTTAATCATATTCCTGCCTGTCCTGTGTTGTATATAGCGATCTAGTATAAACTTGCCTCGCTCACTGTTGTCAAGGTTACATGCTCTGATCCAACTGTTATCAGTTATTTAGTAAAACAAACGAACATTTCATTTTTGTTCAGCAGAAACTGTACACAACAAAAACCTCGTGCTTTTTTACATAGATACACACAATTTGTTACTTTATGAAAAATATGTTCGAAGTAAAGTTCAAAGTGCACAATTTCCAGGTTTTTATGCTGGAACATTCATTTTCATTGTCCGGTCTCGTATATGAAATGCTTCTACTTATTTAAAGAAACAATTTCAAACATTAAATCTCTTGATTTATATGTACTGAAACTTGTCTCACTTTTCTTCTTCATGTTCATACATAGATGTTCTATTCTCCTGAACTGGACATTACGCATTCACATTCATCTCCTGGGAAGTCTTTGTCTCTTTTTAAAAGGTCTTGGAAAATCAATGCCGGCAAAATAAAAGCAGAGCGCCGAGGCAATGGACGTCTTTGCGGCCGATCTTGGCTAAAACATTTTATCTCGTGCCAGATTCTGTTTCGCTCCCCGAATTCTCTGCCGCATGCGAGTTGTGTGCCAGCGATGGATCTTCAAAGCCTCATTAGCCAGCCTGTCGCTCAGCTCTTGAGAAGCTCCAAATAATGGGATCATCTCTGACATAGTCTTGAGGGTTGCTTGGCCCTTTCTCCCACTTCACAAATGCAGGCTCGAGTGTTTGCAGCTGTGTATGATACCTCTTCAGTATTTCTGTTTACTTTAATAATCACAGGGCACAATGGGTCCTAATGTACGTCTTTGTTTCTCTGCCAGCACCTACACAAATGTCTGAACAACACTGTTTGGAGGAAAAACACAGAATTCATTACACGGGCACAAAAAAACCAAAACATTACCATGAGAATACTGGAGCTTCTAATGGGCCCGAATACAGCAAACAATGATACAAGAGCTCCTTTAATTTAATTATTTACTTTTATTACCGCTCAAGATTCCATTAGCGCTTTTGAGATCATGATAATTGGCAGCGTATGCCAGTGGGTGCATAGATATCTGAAGGGCCTGTTGGCAGGTTTTATGTTTCGTCTTCAAAATTTGGCCAAATCTGTGAATTTCCAATGGGACTGCTCAATAAGACGTGGGTTTCAAGTCTTTGTGTCCATTCAGATGAAAGATGGCCCATTAGAAATTGGCAGCTAGCTGTTTGTTTTGATTAAGCCACATCAGAGAGATAATTTACCTAAATTATTCTGTTATTTTTTTTTCTCGCTTTCAAAACAAGCTCATTGTGTCAATACTGTTATATAAAGAATTATATTTTAGTCCAGCTGAAAAAGTACATTAAGACAAATGTGTCCATTACTGGACAGCTGATTTAAAAGGCTGAGTACACTCTATGTACAGGTTTATTGGGAGCAGTACTGCATAAAAGATTGAAGCACTTAAGATCTTTAGTTCAGTTTAGGTTTTTTTTTTTTCAGTTCATCCTCCAGTCTTATCGGCTAAACCTCTGATTGGTCCAAAATTCATTTAGCATCAATGAGCATGACAGAAAAGCCAAACTGAGCCAGAATCATTTGGAACAAGAAGACAGTGTCCTGTAAAAAGGAGTGAAAGCCTGAAGCCCACAAAAGACCTGTGGCAAGTTCTTCATGTTGCTTGGAACAATCCAGCTGCCAAACACCAGATGCAGGTAAACTGTTTGTTAATACGGTTTATGATTGTTGTGATTTTTTTCTAGGTTTATTTTTTTAAGCAACCTCACAGTAATGCATGAAAAATCTACTCTTTCCTTTCTGCTGCTCCCTCTAGGGACCTCCACAGCTGATCCCTTACTCTCAGGTCCACATTCCTGCCTTTGCTACTGTCTCCTGCCTTCTAATACACTTCATGCCTTTGTTGCTCTTGTTCCTAAAAGCTTTCACTTTGCAATAATACCGCTTATAGTTGATGGTGAAATATGTAGGAAGGAAGAAATTTCACAAACTGACAAGGGCATCCTGTTACAACACCACACTTGGATTCTGTGAGCTCTATAGAACGACCCGTTCTTTCACACAGGTTTGCAAACGTAGACTGCAAGGCTGGGTGCTTGATTTTATGTGGAAAAGGACTGAAACCCCCCTTAAATTCAAAGACGAAGAGGTGTGGCCCAGTACAGTACAGTTTAGTCCCTATAGTTTGCATACTGAAGCATACAGATGGGCTCAAATTTAGATTCAGTCTGGATCTGGATTCTACAAAACCTGTTTCAGCAGCATTGACAATAAAACCCAGGTGTTGACATAGAAGTCAACATTCATGTTTAGGAAGCTCCAGAAAGAGTGAAAGAAGCACCAACCAAAACAGACGGTGGTTTGCTGACACCTGTAGCTCATCTCGTAGACCAATCTATGGAACTGTTACTCAAAGTTTCTTTGTAACACATGCCTGTTAAAAAACGAATAACTGGGGCTCCTTTCACTTAAAGGTTTCAAAACTATTCCCCAGGTTTCTCTCTAAAATTTGCTAAATCTCTGATAAAATATTCAAAAGAATAATGATAATTAAACTGTCAGTTTAAAGGGTGACACATCTTCTGATCACCCATAGTTGTATCACATAAAAAGGCGTTTAATTGTGACACAAAAAACCGACGCAGATGAGACCGTGCGTTGTGTCATTGTCTCCTCTGTAGCTGCATCTGGAGCCACCTGGCAGAAACCGATAGCGCTGCTCGATAACACACCTTGAGACAATTCAATTCTGCACACTCTTAATAATAATAGTAATCCCATTCGGCAGGGCCTGCATAAGTAATGCTCTGCATGCATATTCATAAGTGTACCGTTTCCTTTGCGGGCCATTTCATTCAAAGCTAACGAATGTGGTGAAACAACTGGCTCGCATCTGGCCCTATTCTTTGTGTCGCCTCTGTCCTTTGATATGGACCCCAGCTCTTTTCTTCTTCCTCCTCTTGTTCTGTTGTCATACCAGAAGATTGTTTTGGATGGAGAGAATGAGGCAGAGGACCCCGCCGGCCAAGCCACAGCTCACAGCACTGAGGTTGGTGCAGCTGGTTGATGTCACAGGTTCAAGTGTACACACTGAAGTGGACAGATTTGGATTTAGCTAAAACTGTGAAAAGATTGTGAAACTGTGCTTTTAGTTGAAAGTTATACTAGAAATCAATGAAGGAACTACTGCATATTCAGGAGAAAATCAAGTATAAACTCCAACAACGTTTATTTAAAGATGTCAACAGCCTTCCCAAATCTTCCTGTTAGTGATACTGTGTCTCCACGTCTATGACAGCTCAGTCAGCTGACTGCAAAAACAGAGACATAGTTTAAAGAGAACTTGACATTAGATTCATGGCTGACAGACAACGTTCTGAAGATATTTCTCACTTAGTAAGTGTTTAACTTGAAACACCCCTGATTACATTTAAAGGCTTACTTCACACCCCAGACTGTATTTAAAATGGATGTATGGAGGCAAAGCAGCTTAGTTTGAGATTTCACAATGGGACATCACTAACCAATGACAGCACAGTGCCTATGTCCATCATTTATATACAGTCTATCACCCACACATAAAAAACAACCTCACTGAACTTGGATTTCTAAATGAAAAGAACAAGAAAATAAACTCTTTTTATTTAACCTCAGTGCTGTCCAGGTTTTCAAAAACCCAGGCAAACGAGAATAAATGAACTGCATTTGTTAAAGACATCATCAGGGGTCATTATGTGCTGCTGTTTGTGTCTTTGCAGACTAACCTGTACACTATGGTTGCCGTGCAGTTCTTGTCAAACTTCCTGACCAACCAGCCAAGCTGCTGTTGATCCAGAGGTATGTTAGCTTCCTGCATGTGTGACAAGTTCAATTTCCCAATCGCTCATTCACGCAAGAGTGGGAGCTGCAAGTTACTAAGTTAACATTCTGTCATAGATTTGTTATCGTTGCTCATGAGGTGCATTATTACATTATCGCTGCAGCATGACAAACTGTTAGCCTGACCTTTACAGCCTTCCTGAAGGCAGAGGTGGAGACTTTCATGGTTCCCTCTTTGTCCAGAGCCTGGAAGAAATCCACAATGCTCTTATTTTGCTCTTCAAAGAACTTCTACGGAAAAAAATATAGAGAGAGAGATCTTGTTTTACAGTTGGAAGCATGTTAAAGATGCTGCTAAGACTTCTGAAGTATGAACTGAAAAAGCAGTAAGAATACAGAATGATTTTATTGATTTCCCCATCTTTTCCCATCACCAGTTTTCTCAGCCTTCTTGACAATGTACCTTAAAGATCCCAAGTGCCAATAAGTTCTTGGTGACGGAGGGCAGAATATAATACTGGAACCGCAAAGCAGGGTGGGTCACGCGGGTTTCTTCCAGCAGCTCCACAAAGGTCTCACACACAAGCACACTCTGCACTCACACAGTCACAGACATATTATGATCATATAATATTGTGATTGTGTATCTAATTACTTCTGGGGCCTTGTGTACAAAAATGGCCTTGTGACCGTTTGATTTAAAATCCAGTGCGGTGGTGTACAGAGGCAAAAATACAACAAATACAACAAATGCGTTACATACAATTAAATACAATTAAGCAAAAACAGACTGTAAATTAAAACAGATACTACTTTTATTTACACCTCAGCTTATATTCTCAGATGAATAATGTTTCGCGGCACTTACAGAAATATCGATCTCCTCCAGTGCTGATTTCATGTTGTTTTTAACCGTTCTGAGCAGCGTGGCGGCTCCGATTTTTGTCATGGGGTTGCGAGAGAGCTGAAACGCACACGCAAAGATCAAACATGATCTGAAATTCATAGGGTGCAATGACGTTAAAATCGTTACAATGAAGTGTTGCTGCAGGAGTCTTTTACTCACTTTGAGAACCTCGAGGGTTTCGTTGGTGGCCAGGCCCTGGCAGAGCAGCCTTACAGCTTCATCGTCCACACAGTTAATGCTGAGGTCCAGCAGCACAAGTGTGTCATTTTGTTGCAGCACTTCAGCCATCAGCTGTACCTCTGGACGGCCAAATCCACTGTTCGACAGCTGGAGCTGCTTCAGTGTTGCGTTTACCTGAGGAAAGAAAAGGGGGGAGAGAAGGTCAGCAACGAGAGTTAACAAAACTGAACTCTTTGCTCGAGTGTGTCATTTTAGTCACCTTTAGACCAGCAATCAGAGCTGCATTGCCATGTATGAGAAAGTGATTCCAGCTCAGATTTAGGACTTCAATACCGATGTTCTCTGCTACAAGGAAGTGAAATACACATTTTTTACAAAGTCACAATACATTTGAGACTAATCTACAAGCTACATGTAACATTTTCTCAAGTTCAAGAAATACTTTAAGAATACTTAATACTTTACTATTAAATAATATATCAGTGGGTCACATTTCTCTTTTATAGGCCTGCTTGTTTGTTTTCATAATTACTTTAGTTTAGAAAGTCTGTACAGCAGCCAATCCAGGACTTCAAACTGCTGAAAATCAAATGCTGCCCAACCAAAGTACATTTGATCATCACACGGACCTAAGATGAAGTATATAGTATTTAGTTCTTTATGTTTTGTTGATGCATTTTGATCGCCTGATGCTTTGCTCTGCTGGCTTTACTTCTACTACCAGACCGCCATTGCTTCAGTTTTATTTCTTCCCTACTGCTGACGAGATATAATTTCAAGTTCGAGTTCAAGACCAAAAACAGTCAGAAAATTAAAAATGTGTTATTTTAAAATCCCCTTTTTTTGGTTTCAGTTCTATTTCTTATTTAAATAGGAGCTGTATGTATGGAAATGTATGTAATGTAATGTAAATATATATTGTGACTTTTTAGTTAAAATCACAAAATGAACCACCTGCAATACTTCCACAGCCCACCAGGAGGCTACAACACCCACTTTGAGAATCAATGCTGTGCAGCAAAATTTGTCTTTTTCTCTAAAATGCTTAAACTACTACAATGATATAGTATAATATCATAAGGGCACACTGACTATATTTCATAATGGAAGGAAACTCAACAACAAGAACAATAATGCTCAAACCACCTTCACAGTATATCTACTAATAAGAAGCTATAATCCTCAGCTTTTTAGCAACTTTCTTTCCCTGACTCTCATTGCATGATCTATAATATTCTTTGTTATCACTACAGAGGTGTCCTCCCACATGAAGGTTTATTTATACGGTGCAAAATTGCCTCAAGGTACTTCCTATCTTCACGGAAACAGGGAGGTGGTAGCCATCAGTGGCAACTGATTGAGGGTGATGGGAGAGAGAGCGCAACTCGCAGAGAGAGAAGGATGAATCTAACGACATGCTGAGTGCTGACAAGGTGAGCAGAGAGGAAATGCTCAGTGGATCACAGGAAGTCACACAGCAGTTTGAGCCTATAACAAGTAACTAAGGGATCCTTCTGAGTCACCTGATTCAGCCCTAACTATAAACTTCATCAAAAAGTCAAATCTTAAAAGTAGAGAAACACCAGAGAGTGAAGAGTGAAGTTCTCTATTAGGACAATATGGTACTACAAGTTCCATATTGTCCTAATATGGCCTGATTATTCAAAATGCTGTTTGTAAGGAAAACAATTTTAAATTCTAGACTTAACAGGGAGCCAATGCAAAGAGAGAGAAATTTACAGCTGGATGTTCCAAAGTGAGGATAGCTTGTTTCTACCCTAACGCTTAAAGCCCTATTCCAAAATTGTCAAAAGCTGCTTCATCATTAGAATTTCTAATTCACGAAAAATAAAAGTAAAGCTTTGCATTAATTTGAAGGATCTAATGTGAACAGAAATAGAGATGATCTGTACCTAACATGACACCAAGGTCTTCTCCTCCTGCATCGCAGATGCAGTTGTAACTGAGGTCGAGCTCTTTGACCACAAAATCATTCTGTTAGATAGGAAAGAAAATTCTGAATTGCAGCTTAAAGCACATATAGACGTGACACATATAGACATGTTTAATTCATTATGTATGCGGCATTCGGCAGTCTGCACTCACCTTTAGTGCTTCTGCCAAGCATTTAGCTGCAGCGTCACAAAAGTCATTTTCTAAGAGAACAAAGGGAAATGAGAGAATTACCTTCTTCATTTCGCTGCTGTATTACAGTGATAGACAGGAGTTCATGCCAGCATAGCTTAAGACTTGGAAGGTTGATGGACCTGAGAGGTTGATGGATTTGAGCTTAGGATTGTCTGACAGCATTGTGGAGATAACCTCTGCTCCTTTAAGGCCCAGCTTGTTGTCGGAAAGATTCTGATGAAAAGACAAGATTGAGATTTTTTTTTTTTTTAAATAACATTAATGCCATTTCTCTTGCACATACAGCAAGAGGATTACATCTACACAAAACTGAAGTTTTGAATGTGATGTTTTTAAAGTCGTTACTAGACTCTGAATGCTGATGTTTTCAAAAAGCATCGCCATCAGATACTGTGTCCCTTCAGCCTGAAGTGAGTTCCCTTTCAACTCGAGGTGGGTGACTACACCGTGACTCTAAAACATTAAAAAAATAAATTAATACAAAATGATACAATATTGTTTAAAAAGTACAAACTCATTTGAAATATGTTACAGACTCATTACATGACCAGAACTTGATCCAGTATGACCTACACCATCTTAATTTGGGGATCGCATGAATAGCTAGAAAAAAGGATTACTTTCAGAAGGATAGCCAGAGCTTTGGCCCCCAGAGGTCCCAGCCCATAGTAATTCAGGTCTAGAATATCATCATCCAAGTGGCGGAGGATGTAGGAAACAGGAACGGCTCCTGTCTGCTTGCAGGCCTTTAGATACACGTCTGATGGGGACAAATTCAATCTCCTGCTGGAGGTGAAAACTGAAATGAAAATAAGAAGACGTGACGGGTAAATAAAAAACCACATCTACTATTACGGAATTGTTTTGCTCCATGAACATACTATTGTCTTCCAGGTCAGTGCTGCATTCATCATCACTGTGCCCTGCTTGGCCCTTAGTGAACTTGATTTCCTCCTGGGGTCCTCTGGACAGGACTGACTGAACAGAGGGCTGCTGCTTTTCCTCTTGTGAATTGGACTGAAAATCCACACTGTCTTCGTGAATGTTATTCATCACGGCACGAGATCCTGACAACCTCAAGTGTATGTTTGGAAGACAACATAAGAGGAGCAGTCAGGTAGGATTCACTGCTGCAGGCTATTAGACTGTTTAAGCAACACTGTGTAATTTTTGTAAACTCCTGTGCACTGCCACTTTTTAGGCATTAGCATCTATATGAGTGCAAAGAGCTGCACATGAAAGTCTTTACACTGAATTTATTAGGGATGTGCATGATTTACAAATATTCAGATGAGTTCTATTTAACTGCCCTACAATAAAAGAAGAAAATGTGATCAACTATGCAAAGTACCCAGACTCGACCGACAAAGTGAGATGAAAGTCTAAACATGTACAGATATTGACAACTGTCAGAAAGGTTATGTGTGGCACCCCTTCAAAAATATATAAAAATGGGGCACAATTAAAGTTACCGAGAGTCTACCACCACTATCCACAGTAGCAGAGAGCACACTGGGCAGTGGGCAATCTTTAGATAACAATCATCAGTGAAAACTGAACTTGATCTTGAAATATCTTTGCATGAAAACCCCACTCCTGGTATTTCCATCAGCTTAAATATTCAGACTTCCTGTCTTCCCCAACATTTAAAAATCCTGGAAATGCCCCTGGCTATGCACTACTTCCATGAGCAATGTGAACCTGATAGAGAAAACTGCAGAAACAACACACGGGATAGTTTTACATGACGTTTAATGATCTACTGAACTTAACATGACTTACTTTACAGCGCATTTATTTAACAGTGAGGTAGAAGAAGAGCTGCCAGCTAACTAGCTACCTAGCTACTACTGCATTTTATCAAGCAGTTAACAGTTACACCAGCAGAAGAGGGGAAACACTGTTTTATTCGGAATTAAAACAAGTATTTACTTTTTTTTATATAAAATCCTATTTGTCAGACCTTTATTATTGTTCATAGCAGAGGAATAATCCGCCTACCTGGGAAAAATTTTGTCGTTTTCTAGTGTTAAGAAGACGATCCAACGGCTGATCAGGAGAAGGAAAGTTATGAAAGATCCGAGGGCGGCCGGAAAATTATCGATAAAAACAAATGAAGCACACTGGAAACGGCCATTTCCATCTTAAAAAAAGAAAGAAAGAAAAGTACCCTATATCAATTAATAATGGTTTAAAGTATGGTAATAGCGAAGACTTTGATTCGTTTATATAGATAAGCACTAGATGGCGCTGTTCACCGTAATCCCTATCGAGATGAGACCGGATGTGGTTGTAACGTGGGAGAGACCAATGACTGTTTAAAGCACTCCTTTATACAGTCACTGGGAAAGACTACCAATTCTACCAAATGGGGTAAAATATAACCACAAATATGAGTTGTTCTTTTATTGCAATAATCTCCCACACCCTTTTTTTAAACATACGGCACATTGTGACGTCGACGTGTTTTTGCTTCTTATTACTAATTGTTAACACTTAAGTGCAAAGGCTGTGGGAAAGGATCACCACGTATTTGACTCTAATGTTCTCACAGAGCTTTGATTTGATTTTGTTTATAGTAGACACGCATGTGGGTACTTTGTTTCAAATTTGAGAAGTTTAGCTCAGAACAATACAGGGAAAATGTTACAAACATACTCCTGTCATTTGGTACAGCCTCTGTAGCAAATAAAAACTTGTTAACAATTTATTTTTCGAATTATAAACACTTGAGGTTTTATTTATTTTGTAGCTCATACCAGCAGGTTTTAAAGGGAATTCTGTTTGATTTTCATCTATAGTGTTTTGGAAAAGTCTTGAGCCACTCCTCATCTCATGCTTCCAAGGAGCCAGACTCGTCATTTTTAATCTGGTCTTGAGCAATATTTCTTCAGGCTTTCTGGAGATCTTTCATTGTTTGGCTGCTTTTAAACTCATTCTTAGTCCAGTCCTTCCACCGGACATTTTCAGAAGAACAGAAGAATTCTTTTAGGTTTGTTAAGGTACTTAAACAAACAAACAACAAAAACCCTACCTAACCAACTACTTCGAGAGATGAACCAGTGTTGTGTTTACATATAACAGACAACTTAGCAAATATTCCATTTTAATGTTATCTTTAGGCACTTGGTTATTAGCAACCTGACAGGCATAACCACCAACAAGGCAATTCCCAAAGAGCTATAACTTTATCTTAAATAAGATATTTAAATATTTTAAATAAGAAAAAAATCACACAAAGACCTGACACAGGACCTGAGAGATGCACCTGAACCTTCAGTCGATACATTACTGTTCACTGTAGACTCATCACATCACACATGGTTTCAGTGGACGAGAGGTACAGCAGTAAGTGTCCATAGCCACGTGTAAAGCAAAGTGAAGGGGCTATCATGGTTTGGGGCTGCATTTCAGCCAGTGGTTTTGGGGAGCTTGTCAAAATTAATGAAGTTATAAACGTAAAAAGATTTTGATCCACCATGCAATGCAACCTATATAAAGTATGTGACTGGCAATGGCTTAATTTTTCAGCATGACCAATGATCCATGTATATTTGAATATGTTTAATGCATCGCTGCAACCATTTTGTTTTCTTAGGAAAATATAAAGAAATGAGAGGTCACTCGAGACCTTTGCACAGTACTGTACATTATAATTGGAAGAGAAAGGGATTATCAGGGAAATCCTCAAAATGTATAATGATTTTTGTCCTGCTGTTCATGATCAAATGGTAAATGTCAATACTTCAGTGCAACTTTAACTCAAAGTCACAGTGCAAAGTTTGAATTTAGTTGAGCCTCCACCAATAAGTCAAATTGCAGTTCATATCTATGTCTATCCAGACTTGACATTTTACATGACAAATATCATCGTCTTATCTTTTTATCCTGTGTAAAATGTCATCGTCATGAGGTTAGAGTGACTGATATTTGACTGTGGACTCGTGTGCACTAAAGAACTCATGCGATAAATCTCTGTGTAACCATGGATAAGGATTAGTTTCATTGACCACATTAAAGCTGTAACTAAATCTGCTTTTTGGCATCTCAGAAATGTAAGTGAGAGATTATGTGTCCCAGCAAGAGCTAGAGAAGCCCATTCATGATTTCACTTCTTTCCTAGTCAGTTCGTTCTTTAGCTGAAGTCAACATTTTCTCAAGGCAATATGTCACAGTGTCCATTCCTCTCTGACCATGAAAATCTAATTAGCTCATCCTTGAGCTCAACTGCATATTTGTGCTAAATTTAAAGAAATATCTTCCAAGTGTTTGTGAGGTATCATATTCACAAAAAAAGAGTCAGTTCTAATAAATATACTAATAAAATACATGTTCCAATAAACACCAGATTTGTAAACAGTAATAAAGTACTAGGATAAATTCTACAATGAGGAGGCAGCCAGTGATCGTCAGCAGGTACTGGGGCGTCTGCTGTCGGGTTAGTTCTGTGCCGTCTGTCATTTCTCGCGGTGAGCCGTGAACAAAGGGATCTATGTTAATCAAGGCTTGAAGAAATAAAAGCATGAGTGACCTTTTCAGAGTTGTGCAAACAAAAGTAAAGCCCTGACTTTGGCAATATACTGAAGAATAGCGCTGAAGAAAACGTGATTGCACAACATTTGGCATTCTGTAATTCTAGTGTCATGACCGGCTGGTGCAAATTCAACTTCAGTATATTGCAATATTGCATTTTTACAGGTGCAACGTAATGGAAAAACATAAATAAAAGGTCTTTCTTGTAGTTAGAAAATAAAATTTAATCTATTCAGGATATCAGTTTATACATAAAGAGAGATGCAGAACAGACACTGAAATACTGCTCAGCTGAGGAGCCTCTACTCCTTTTCACAGCTGTTTGACAGCGCAACATGACAGACTGCGAAGACTGAAAGACAAATCACATCAAGTGATTCACAAGCATTTCATATATGTTTATGTATAGAAAGCAGTATAAAACAAGTACAATAATGGACAGACAACAAGTCCAAAAAATAAGGGTGTAAACATTTTGTGTATATGTGCTTTTCATGACGCCAGCGTCACCACAAATCGGATCAACCGGTAACTGCCATCGTCGAGGCAGGGTATAGAAATAAACATTGAAAAAAAACAAAAAAACTCTACTCCATTTGGTGTATCTGTAATGAGTATTTTATCCTAATAACTCTACACCTGTATATTTCAGCTAGCATACATTAGGAAAACTGCAGAACACTGCACTGAAACAATGCCACACAATCTACGCAGGGCTTTTGTAACAGAGCACCATAGTGATATTAGTGTGTTTCCTCAGCGCTGTTTCCAGTCATACTCTACTGTTTCCATTGGTCCCTTTTTTGTAGAGATGGTTGAAGTAACAACGAGGCACAGCGGGTATCAACAACAACACTTAATGTGGAGATGAACCTGGGTATTTCCAGTCTTCCAATGGACAGAGCCAGCTCGTGTAGCAGTACTGAGGAAGCCCCACAACCTCAGATCTTTGGACAAAGTCTCCAAAAGTCTCCAGCTTGGAGCTCAAGTGCTTCTTTAGAAATGTATTGCCAGTTATGTTAACATATAAACGGCAGCCACGGTGGTGCTAGTTTGGGCTTCAGGAACTTCCCTGGTTTCTCTTTTTTCACTTGGTTTCAGAGGACAGCTGTTCCAGCAGTGGGTTGGCCTCGCTCTCAGGTGTTTTGACGCTGTCGGTCCTCACGATGCATGTCGGCCGGTGGAGATTGAGCATCACCATTAGCTGCTGCCTCTCCAGACGGAGCTCCTCGATCTGGGCTTTCAGCTCCGAGTTCACCATTTCCAGACGTTCCGATTCCTGGACAAAGGCATTCAATTAGTACATACTACTGGAAAAAACACCCCACAGAGGACAATCTTACGCTTAATGACTTGATATTGAAATCTCAGGACAAAAACTAATCTAACTACAAACATGAATAAGTGGTTTGAGATCATGAAAAATGATTTTGTTCTGCTCTTCAGCGTGCAGTGCTGAATCATGAACTCACCCTTTGAAGGAAGTCAGTCCGTTCCTTCTTTTTGTTTCGGCATCGTGCTGCAGCTACTTTGTTTTTCTCTCGTCTTCGTTTCCTCCTTTCTTCATCTTCATCCATCTGCAAATACAAAGTATCATTAATATTGAAACAGAAGAGGTTTTTACATTTTACTGTTCTTATTTTTCCATTTCAATCACAGGTTGTACAAAAAAGTGGACACAGCCACCCTGAGGTTACCCCTTGGCTTACTGATTTGAAGCCATGAATTTGACACTTTGGCTGCTACCATGTCTTCTGTTTTTTTATGACTCTTGATGATAAAACGATAAAGCCTGACTTGATTGGCTAATACTCCCATGACATTCACGTTTCACACACTCCATTTCCTCTTTTCTCTTCCTCCTCACCTCTGTCTTGATGGCCAACGGCCGTTTCCCCAGCCTGCCTAGGAAGTGCAGCGGAGACAGCATGGTGCCCAGCTGGTGGAAGTCAGCCAGCTTGAGTTGATCGGTGAGCGTGGTGGCCGAGATGCCCGCCAGTGGGCCCAGACTGGGAAGGGAGCCCGCCGCCAGCGAAGGGTCAGGTATCTGTCCCGGCATCATGTCCAACCCGGCCACCACCGCCGCTGTGGGAGGGGAGGGGAAGAGGCGAGGGGGTAAAGAGAGGAAGGAAAAGAGAAAAGAGGAAGAGAGGGATGATTAGGATGAGAGTCAAGCCTAAAAACAACTCGCTGACAGTGAAAATTCAGCTTTTTTTTCTCCACCACAGAGAGAAGCATAGTGCACACACCTATTTTAAATATTTGAGTCTGTAAATCTTCCGTTCTAAAAGAAGAAATAATGAAATTAATTAAAACAAATTTTTTTAAGACTGCATGGTGCCAATACTAATATTTTTTCTATTTAATCATAATGCTTTGTTATCAATTTCTGCTCACTTTCACAAAGGAAAAGAAATATTGATTATAAATACTAACTTAATTTTTTTAAAGTCTTCCAGCCCGCTACCTTATATCTGATCTATCCCTGCATCTGTACTGATAGCTACGGTTTTATTCATACCAGAAACCATGTCATGGGTGCATGCATTTTTCTTTGGATTCCCCCCCCCCTTTTTTTTTCTGACTCCGTTATGATAACATAAACATTTATACTTATTATACTGCAGCCATCTGACAGCATCTTTTGTCTTATTATGATGTTATACAGCTTGCCTTTGACACACACACTCGTTTTTCACCATTTTTTGTCTTCGTCATCAAATATCTTTGTAAATACTGGCTGCTGTTTTTAC